GCGGTTTGTGCGGATCAATCAAGGTTACGGCGCTCGTTTGCAAATATCGATCCATTTGCACAGATCGCGTTCGGCAATATTGTATTTTTCTTGCGTGGGAACAGAGGAGGTGTGATCTTGATCTTATTCAAGTGGCTCATGTGGTTTTGACGACGGACAATTAAGTCACCTTCACTCCAAATATAGTGTTTCAAAAAAAAATTCGACACCATTGTTTTGTCTATTCGTTTTGCAGAGCTCATTATTTTGTGTGCAGAAAATAGACTAACAATAAGAACAAAAAATTCAATTACTTTATATAAGAATGAAAAAATAAGTAATTTGACTGGGGATGGATATAAAAATTAAAGTAAATAAATAAATCACATTTATGCGAGCAAAATGTAGAGTTAATTTTATCAGTAATCCTCATAATAAATATTATATATATAACAATTAAAATGTGATTTATTTGAGCCCAGTTTGGTTACAAAAATCAGTTATAGCTATCGCAATTTTTCTGATGAAACCAGCAACATCCCTTTTCTCATTGTCTGCAAACACAATGTACGGAGAAGCAGAGCAATTACCGGAGGAAGAAGGATTTATATCCATCATCTCCTAACAATCGGCAGTAGCAGGAAAAATCTCAAATTGCTGCTTCGACAGTCCTCAGCACTTTTCCACGCTCGAACGAAATTAATCTTCCAGCAGAAGAGATAAAAAAATATATATTATATAAAAAGCATCTCGGCCGGAGTAAAGTGCGCGCGGAGAATAAAGTGGGTGCCACGAAATCCTAAACCCACCTACACATACAATGCAGCCTCCGAGTCATTGAACTGTCCGGCGGCGTTACTCGGCGAAAGGGATCGTCCTTTTTCGAGTGTACGTGTCCTGGCAACCTGCTGCTGCTGCTGTCGGAGAAAAAAACAACAATGTGAGTTGCGCGCATTGTTCTTCTCGAATCACGGCTGTGTTTGCGAGACGGCATCGATCGTGCGAGTTCGCGATGGCTTCGTTAGGGCGAAGAATGGCAGCGGCATTCTTCAGGGGCGCTGGAGCTGAAACAGATTGATTTGATATCGATGATGATCGCGTTCAACAGCTCATTCGGCCAAGAGTCATGTCTCGATGATGAGACACATGACTTTTTTACTTAACAAAGATTATTTTTGTGCAGAAAAATAAATGCGCAATTACTGCAGGAATTATTTTCTAAGTAAGAGTAATTTAACGTGCAGATCTGGTACAAATTTCTAATCAGATATTTCAATATCTCAGTTCAAAATTTTAAAAATATGGATTTTTCAGCCTTAATTAATCTACAAGTTAAGTAACTTCCCATGTTATAAATTTTGCGAATAGGGCACACTGTGTATAGTAGTACAAAAATCTTTTTAAAATTGCAATCAATAAATTGAAGCAGTAATTGCTTATGTTATTTATATTTAAATAGATTACCTTTGCAATTAAAAACCGGTTTTGTATTTCAAAGTTAAAATTTAATTTTATCTTAAATCATCAAATATATTATTCTAAAAGCCATTAAAATTTAAAAACAACAGATTTAAATAAAAATGATTTAATTCATTATTAAATTATAGTTAAAAAATTGATAGACTAATATCTTGTTAGGCGTTTCAGCATTATGTTTTACGTTACAATTTGTTCTTTGTACAAAATGTTATTGAAAGCATCAAACTACCAATCGGTAAACCAAATTATACACTTTAACCTGTAGTTCATTAATTAATTTGTATTTACCCTGCAATTATTTACACTATTGATCTTTGGAATCAAGTAGAGCAAACAAATCTTCACCCACGTCAAGGACTTTCTTTCACCCTAGCGGTGAAATTGCCTGGCATTGTTGGACGAAAAGTTGGATTAGCTCTTACTTCTCCTGGTTTCCTCCTCCGCCCGCCTAATAAAAGCTACGGGCAAATACGGCACGCGGCGCAAATAAATAAACAAAAGAGCCCTGCGCGCGTCTTCCAGCCGGCGTAATTGTGTCTGAGAGATAACGCTTTTAGTTGAAATAACACCAACAACTTGGCCACCGGTGTTATAGTTGACTCGCGCTTCTATAAATATTTTGCCTCCAAATTAACCCAATTTCTGGCTCTAAATTAACCCCGTTATTAGTCCGGTTTATTTTCATAGCGAAAGTGCGGCACTAAACAATAACACCCCGCAGCGAGAAGGATTATAATTTATTATTGCTTAATTGTTTTATGGACTCATTGCAGACAGAGGTTGCTTTTCCCTCATGTAACAAAAAAAAAATATTGTTAAAATTGTTTAACCAATTTTAACAATGATAAATGCGTTAAATTTTCATTCCACGCTTCTACGTTTATTTTCTTTTCGTTGATTTAAAAATCAAAAGATTGTTCCCTTTTAAATTTAACATTATTCACTGCTTTCTTAAAAATTCACTTGCATGAAGTAGTGAAACGAAATTTTTCCCATTTTTTCCATCATCAATGATCATTTATAGATGAATCAAAACTGAAAATTTCACTTAACATTCATTAAAAATATGTAATAAACTTGAGAACAGTTAAATAAAAATGAAAGGACGTAATTCCCTTTTGATAAAATATCAAAATCAATTTTGAATTAAATCTAGGTAAATTCGATTTTATTTGTCTGATCAATTTTTTGACAGCAATTCAATTTCTTGTAGCTCGTATATTTTTTTGCCAATGCCACGAATAAATAAGCCAACTTTTCTTTTCAGTTGCCCAAATCAATAGCCTCGAGGTATTTTTTTCCTGGAATGGGTGGAAGAGATTTTCCTCAAAAGGGCAAACCGAAGGCTCAACGGAAACTTTTCCGTCAGATTGCCTCTAAAAATCGTATATTTTTCATATTTTCTGACTTCTGACCGATGGAAAAACTCCAAATGCATGGATCGCGTGCGTGGCTTTGTACTTTCATCGAAGTGGACATTAAACTTGCGGTTGGCGACAAATCAATATAACGCTCAAAGCCTGCCCCACAGGCCAGCTCTTTTGGTCGCAGCCAATTTAAAGCCATGGCAGCCATTCACCGACAGAGATTTGATGCTGGTGATAACGTGCAAGCTGCTTAGAAAAGAAAAGCAAAAAGATCAAAAATGCTGAGAGGGAAGTGATGTATATGAATCATGTGGGAAAAGAAACCATTTATTTCTTTTGACTTAGCAAATGTTGCAAAAGAAGGAAAAAGTTATTTTTATATTTTAAAAGATTCATTCCGATATGAGGTTTTTTTTTCAAATAAAACTTCATATTTCTAGTGAATTTCATATTGACTCCAACAAATAAAAATAAATACCCTATCCTAACATCAAACAAGTCTATTTTAAAGGACAAAAGGCCTCAGATTTAAGTGGGCCTACTTTCACTGATAAAAACTGTTTAAAATATAATATTTTTTTAAAGAGTTTAGTCAGTTATTTGTGAATTTTTTGATATTTTCCAAATATTATGAATAAAATGTGGGCACTTCAGGGGAACTTCTTAAAAAGAAAAACGGCTTGTCTTTGCTATAAAAAAGCGCTGTACCAGTTGATGGCGTGCGATAATATTTCTTCAGAAAGAGATTTGCAAGGAAATAAGAAATAAGTAATTAAAAATAATGCAATTCTATGGCGAAAAAGGAAAATGATTTAAAATTTTCCAGGTTTACTTTTTAATTTGCGTATTTTCATATTTTTCTTGTTCTTCAAATAGGATCTCAGACCTTATTGATCTCTAAAAAAAAAAATGAGTTTCCAATGAAGACGGTTTCCTCTTCAAATGAGCAAATTTCGTTATTATATACGTATGCAATTTTTATAATCATAAACAAAATATTCACTTACGTTTGCCTCTTGAAAAATTAAAACCCGTTATTAATAGTTGTTTGCAATTATTTGTTTTAAAACTGTTAATACATAATACTTATTAAGTTAATGGAAACGTTCTATTAATTAGAAATTTATAAAAATATATTAATGTACAAAAAGCAAAATTATATCTGATTTAACTTCCAATTTGTGAATGAAATCTGGGATATTAAATTCTTGCAATCACAATTTTTTGTCCCTTTTCCGCTGCACATTTTGCTCTCCTGAATGAACACGGCTGACAATTTTTAATTGCGTAATTGCACCACATCCGAAATGACGCATTTAATGCATCTCTCACTCTGGAGGAAACAGACGACGCGTTTTACCTCTTATAAAGAGAAGTAGTAATTCAGTCAGGGATGCAAGGCACACAGTGTGTAGATTCCGAGCCGAGATTCCCTGGCGGAACTAGTTTTATATATGTAAGTCGGCGGTCGTTGAACTCTCGAGCGTTCTCCGTCCGCAAACAGGCAAACTCGGTCTGGCTTTGACGCGCGGGAATCCTCTCGCGAGACTCGGCGTTTGCTTTCTTTTCGCACTTGAGCAACATAATTAAATAAGTTGTGGTAACTCGCCGTGCACCGAAGGACTAAACGGAAACTCGCCATTAAAAGTGCCAGGGAAGAGAGTCTTCAGGGCCCCTTCAAGTTTGCCTTTCTCACTTAAATTATTGCTGTAGTTTATTATGGATATTTTCATAATAATTGAGGTTTATAATTTTATTTATAATTACAAATCAAAATTTATAGACTCATCCATATAACACTATCAGCTATTTGTTAAATCAACTGTTACTGCATACATAACTAAATGCATGAAATATAAATATTTAAAATATCTCATAATACATTAAAAAAAAAATTAATCAGTAAATCAAACTAAAAAATTAGCAAAAAGACGTTTGTACCAATTAAATTTAAATATTTAATTATTATACACAATTTATTGTTAAATTACGTTATGCAACATTAAAATAAAATATTAAAAAATTTAAAACTATAAATAAAAAATAATCTTGTTTTTATTTTACTTCAAAAAAAAAAAAAAAATTATGTTCCCGCTATTTTTGTTTGACCACACGACTATTTCAAGTTCTTTTTTACTTTCCTGCTCATTGTCAGTTCTTCCTCATTTGTTGCAGTTGGATTTGGCTTTGGCATCAACAAAGCCTCGGAAAAGGGCTACTTCGGTCCTTGGAAAGTCTGCCAGGAGCTGCTCTACGGCCGTGAAAGATGTGGGACTGCAATTTCCTCGTTTCAGCCCATCGGTGAGTCATGTTTAGAAAAAAAATCGTTTAACATTTAAAACTAAAAGAAATTTAAGGGGAATATAACAAAATTTGTTAAAATAGTTTTATAAGAAGTGCAGCGTTTGCTTACTTAATTTAAATCGATGTGTTGATCTTTTTTTAAATTTAAATTCATCATTCATAATATCAAATTAGAAAAATATTTACATAAAAATCAATAACCTTAGTAAAAAGGCATCTCTAAATATATTAAAATTTCATCCGCCTTATGAGAGTTTTTTTGTGTTTAACAAGTAATAGAAACATTAACTTCACATATCAAAAGGAAGAAGACAGATTCTTTTATTAAAAAAATCATCTATGAAGCATCTTGCAAATGTCTGTTTGCCTAGGATGCAAAAGCTGTCCTGCTAATACCGGCTTGCAATTTGCTGACTTACAAAAGCCGGCCTGAAATTTTTAATTTAATTTAAACGGTTTTATATTTTATCAAATGGAAGATTAAAGCTTTCTTATTATTTTATTAAAAAAAAATTCTTATTTTGTTAAGCTAATTAAATTTGTTTCCCTTTGACTTTTTTTTTTAATTTAGCTGTATGGAAACTGCCTTCCTTTGAGAGTCAAAGCCCTTTTGACTCAAAAGACTCATGTTATTCAGTCTCCAGTTCTAGGAGCTGATAACAAAACATTAGCGCGTAATCGCTTTAATAAACGCGCGCTGGCCTCGTTTCACTGCTTATTTTGCACGACTTGCATGTTTTGGTAAACAGGTGCATGCACTGCTTTTGTCGCTGCAAGTGCACGCGGAATATAATTACCCGGCCAATTATACAATATTATTCACCTGCTGCCTTGTGTATGCAGAACATTTCACGCGTCAGCAGCATAGCCGTGTTTTCATTTGCTGCGCTTTTGACGAATTCACACGCGATGGTCACGCAGCCGGAAAATTTGCTCCCATTTTTGCGAGGAGAAAAATCATGATAATCACGAGCGTGTTTCCTAATCTAACATCACCGAAATTGAAACTTATTCCTTATTGTTCAAATCTTTCAAAACAAAGCAAGGAAATTGCGCAACATTTCTGTCACCTTTGGCAATGTCATACGTTTGCTCAGGAATATATTTGAAAAAGGCGAAAGAATAATAAATTGCGCAAGGAGTTTTATTATTTTAACTTGCAAGTTTGTTCAACACAAGGCATTCATTAATGTATAATAGAAAATTGTGATATTGAGTAAATGCATATTGTTTTCAATATAATTAATTAATAATAATTAATATAATATAATTAATTAATATAATAAATATAGCAATTTATTTATTGATATAATTTAAAAAAAAATCACGCAGAAATAATATCAAAGATCCGTCAACATCTACCTAACAATAAATTTGATTTCTATACATGAAAATCATTGTTTCCGAGGACCACGTCTACATAGTAATATTTTTCCATCTCATTTAAAAACATTTTCGTTGATCTCACTTAAGCCCTATGGAGGGCCTGGAGAGGAAAACGTGATTTCCTCTTGTGATAACAGGTGTATAAAAATTCCTTATCAGGAGGGACTCGTCAGCCTAAATAAAATAATGGAGCGTGCGCTCATTGTTGCCCCGACTTAAACTACTCTTCGAAGGAACGCGCGCAGAGGAAAGTAAACAAGCTGTTTGTGTGCATTGACTGTGCATGGTTGTAAATCAGCATAATATGCCCGTGAGTAACCGCAGCTCAAAATAAAATAAAAATGCACCGCCCATTGTTCGCAGGTGTGGCGACGCAATAGAGGATTTATGCTGATTATGTTCAGGAATTTTGTACCCCTTGAAATGGCTTTTCCTATATTATCGGCGTGAAGATTCAGTTTTTCACTATACATGAGATTGCACATGACATTGGAAATTTAAAACTCAACCAAAATTATTTATAAAGATTGAAAAATCAATTTTGCTAGTGATCACCCTAAATTTAATTCAAATTACAAAATAGACTTTGTTCTCTTTACAAGGTATGGAAATAAAATGAGAAATAAAATGAGATAAAATGACGATGAAAGATTTCACAGAAGTTTCCTTTCCGAAGTTTAGTTGCATATTATGCAACTCGATATTATGTTTGCTCGGTGGTCGGTGCAGTGCTCCTTAGCTTGCTTGAAAGGACGCTCTTGGCTTGTTCTCGAAGAAGTCGTAGTGGCGCATGCAAATGCAAATAATTACTTCTCACGGCTCGCAAGTCACTCCCCGGAGCAACAGCAAGGACGCTGATGATGATGCGTTTACACCGAGTGTAAGAGGGCAATAAAAGTGGTTCCGTCTTTTGCTCACGAGAAAATTTCCCTGCAGGATTCCAACCTTCTTTTAGCGGAGAAAGAAAGAAAAGTTCAGAGAGAAACAACACGTCGGCTTGTTTTCTCCCTGGAGTGTTATTTTCATATTTGTTCGAGACATATTCATTATTCCTGTTGTGTCACCAGCAGTGGCTCTCTTTTATTTTTGTCTCTCGTTAGACCGATTTTTCTCCCGCCTCTTTTTCTTTCCACACGTACTAATTAACGCCGACACGCTCCGAGCATGATTTACGTGAGCGTATTGAATATTTTTAATTTTTAATTTTCGATTTCAGCGACCATGAAGGTCGATATAATTCAGGACCGCAACAGGTTTGCGCGTCTCCCATTAATTTTCAACGCTACGACTTGGGTTGTTCCCGAGAACCGGTTTTGGCGAGTGTGGATGAGAACGAACGTTATCCGAGTTAAGCTTTGCCGCCTTTTTCTACATCAGAATAGGCCAAAAAAGGACGCTTTAAATTGCAGCACGGGAATTCCCAAACTTATTGAAATGCCTTTTTTGCTCACGGAAAAATAAAATGAAGTTAAATTCCTGACAAAAAAAAATTATTTTTTAATGTTATTTTTATAAATGGAAATTGAATGAATCAAAATCTATTTCAACTAGCTTAAAATTTGGAGGGTTAGGTGAGATAAAAAATTATACAAGTTAAAGTTGTTTTAGTTGTTCATAATGTGTTCAGTACATATGCACTTAAAGTTGATGTAAAGAGCTAATAATTTTGTTATCAAAACTCAGATATTTCCAATAAACTGCACAACAAATTTACAAAACTATAAAATTATTGCAACATTTAAAGCTCAATTAAAAGAGAATGCAATTTAGTCAAAAGCTCATTCCCAATTTCAATCGTTTAGACGTTTTTAATTCATTTTCCAAAAATCATTTCACAGAAGAAAACTGTCTTATTCAAAAATTTAAAAGTCTGATGTTTAGAAACAAAGTAAAATTTAGTCATTCCACTTTTAATCAAAGTTTGTCTTCCCTGTAAAGAGCTCTTTAATGTATGTATTTTACATATAATGTATTATTCTTCCGCTTATCATGCCGCGTACATACGCAGTGGTGTTTTATTCGCGTCTAATAAAAGTTGCAAAACTTGGCAAAATCGCTGGCAGGCGAACGAACTTCGCCGAGCGTGGAATAAAAAGGTCCGCGAACCAGATTGAAGGAGCCAACGTAAAATTCACAAGCTTCTTTCGCATCAGCTTTCGTTCGTCTTTTATTGCCCTGTAATGGAATTTATTTTGATATGAGCGTGCCCGGCTCGAGAGAGAAACAAGCCTCAGAATTTGTATATTTACCAGGGAATTATTTCCCAGCGCTGACGGGTGGGCGCACACCGAGCAAACTTTACATCTCTGATTTATTTTTCTTTTGATCTCTCTTGGAACACACAGTTAATATTATGCATAAACTGGTTCCGGGAAAATATTTGTTCTCAAAATTCATATTGATGCAGAATTTGGTTTATAAGAATAGAAATTGAATTAAAAAAAAAGGAAAAAATGTATGGCAAATTTTCTTTTTACTCTAAAAGTTATTTTCGATTTTGAAATTCGTCTAGAACAGAAATTAAAAAAAAATTACTTCCATTTTTATCAGTAGCTAAGATCAGTAGATAACTGTTAAAACAAGAAGTTTTGACTAATTAAATCAATTTGTCCCCCGTAATATGTCAACCTATTTCCTTAAACAAAATAACCTGAAATTAAATTAGCCTATAACATTTTTAAATTTTTTATTTAAAAATTCAAAAGCCTTATTTTTTTATATTTTGTGCTTGGCCATGGCAGCATATTTTTCAAATAATAAAAAATTACATTTCTTTGAAATTAAAAATCTGCTCTTAACTTTAATTACAAAAGTGTTCTTATTTTTTAACATTTTGTGAAAATAGGCGGTGCTGTAATCATCTTTCTTTTATAGAACATCTCGCATGATGGCCCTGTAAAAAGTTTGCCCTTTGCCTTTGCAGTCTATAAAAAAAATGTGTCTGCCGTTCTCCGAAAGGGTTTTTGATCGACAGAAAACAACCTATTGACTTATTTTCTTTTACGTACCCTCGAAAGTTCTCGATTGTTCTGCTCTCTTATTTTTTACGAGCGAATAAAAAAGCGCAGATCGTATTTTTCTCCAGAACCCCTTTTTATTCTTCCGCGTGTTAACTAAAAAAAAAGTTCAATTTCAGTTGAAGGGAAATGAGAGAGATTTTTTGCGTACACTACTCGAATTTCTCACTGTTGAAGCGATTTATCGCACCCCGTTGGTTTCGATTGCTCGTGTGTGCGAAACAGAGATTGCGCTCGCTCAGTTGGTTGTGGCGAAATCTAATCAAAAACACGCATCACAAGTTGCATACCACCGCGTTTGTATAAATATATCATCTGCTCATACATTGGAGGGATGAAATCGCGTAACTGTGAAACGAGGAATTAATTTCTCGCCGAGCGATTTTGATTATTATTTTTGCTGGGGCGATGCAATCCATCTCTCGCGCGCGATTTTCATTTGTCATTTGGCACCCCCTGTCATTTTATGCGAGGGCAAATTGAAACTCGATCCTACGCATATGCCAACGACGCACATATTGCGCCGCGGTGCAAAAATCAACAACTGGATTCTGATGCGATCCAATTTGTAAATAGCAAAGGGGTTGAGAAGTGACCTATTTTTGGTAAATTGGCACAATGAATTTTGCTATACAAAGGTACAACGGTGTTTAAAATGATATTGGTGTATTTTATTTTAATTTTTTTTCTAGCCAAATGTACATAACAAAACCTTTAAAATAAATTCTTGCCACAATTTTAAAGTTAATAATAACTTATTATTGTGCCGAGTTGGTTTAAGTTTGAAATTTACAAACAGTTGAAATACTTTTGGTTTGTCTAATTTTTTGCCAATTATTAGTGACAAATAGTCGCATTGCTTTGTCTTGACCTGAAAAAAGTTATGATTGTAAAATGAATATAACCTAATTTTTAATTTCCACGACACTGTTCGATATTTTGTGAAATTTAATGCTAGCTCAATTTTCAGCTTTCATAATTTTTCAATGGACGTGAAGGAATTTTCAAATATCCAATAAAAAAATTATTTTTTTGCAACGGTTTAGACAATTTAGAACGAATTTTAATTCAACTTTTATTTTTGGCATTGATTCGAACTTTGATGCAAATATTTACAAATTCGTCTATTCTATTTTCAGGCGCAGTGTACGGAGCTGGAATTGCGGCAGCCGCAGCTACAATCCTTCTGGGCTTGTTCTGCGTGCTGAGCGTGTTCCAGATTGCGATGGTGGTGAGCAAGGACCGAGTTGTGATGCGCTACTCGATGCTGGTTGTCGCCAAACTGACGTTCGCCATCTTAGCAGGTAATTAATTTCAGCAAGATCCTCCGATAATCTCCCTCTCGAGCGAGAAAATAGAGGGAAAAAAATATTGTTTGGTTTTAATTAAAACTCAACACACGATACTTTTTGTCTTCCGATGAAAAAAAAGGAAAGGTTTAAAAAAAAGGTACCTGCGGGGCGAACGAAGGCTTGGTTTCCTCTTCGCCTGCAGGAACTGCGCGCATCTGCTCTAATTAAGCGCCTGATTTAGTTTTAAGGGAAGACGCAAAAAGTATTGGATTTCCTGACGGCTCGAATACCCTCGGGGACATGCGTGTGTACGACGAGAAAATTTATATGGATCTCGGTCCGCTGTATAAAGCAGCGACGCGAGAGAGTGACATTTAATTATCAGATAACGTTATTTGTGTGCCCATGGTAATTGTTGCAAAACCCACACACGTCGCGAAATGAAAAGTCTCAAGGGGGAACATGCAAAATGATACATGTATTTTATTCGAAGTGACGAAAATCAATTCTCCTGTCAATTTCGTAGCAACCTAAAAAAGCTCAGAGGTTGGGAAAAAGCGTAAATTTTAAAGAGAGAATCCGCTTCAAAGTGTAACTCCAAAAGGCGACTGAAATTTCGCAGAACAAAATAATGTTTTCATTTTATAAAATGTATGCAGGTTTGGGTCTAAAAATAAAAATACAAAATTAGAGGGGTAAATAAATGTCATTTAATTTACTAAAGCTCAATTTGGGAAGAACTGATTGCTAGGATAAATTTTATTTATGACTTTGAGCGTGTCTGAACTTGAACCTTTGGAGTTGAATTAATCATTTTTTAAACAATTACATGACTACCGAAAATTAGGGAATGAGATCCGAGTCTACTGGGAAACAAAAAGTTGGAAAAGATCAAGAACTACTTAGATTTTTGCTTGAAATTATCTTACAATGAAATCAGCAATATTTAATATTTTTCAAGTTTTTTCTCAGCCCTAAACTAGATTCGCTATTTTTTTTTTTACAGTGTTGCTGTCCATTCTAGCAGCGGGACTTTTCGCCATCCAGACAGATGATCTGGACCACAGATTCGTCATCACAAGAGGACCCTCATTTTACCTGGAGGCAATTTCATTTTTTATTTTTTGCTTAAAAAATTTAATATAATCTGATTTTTAGGTGGTTTCCATTGTACTCAACTTTGTATTGTTCCTGCTCGCCCTCTACGACGTGCTTTTCTCGCGAAGGGAAGACGGTGACCCGACCAGAGTGGATGGTCGCGACCCCACGGGAGCCAGGGCGGTCACTTTCGGCAATCCGGGCTTCAAAGAGAACGGCGTCGCAGTGACTAATGCCAGTGGGAGGCCGTATTCGCCCAACAGGCCCTATTCACCACCTTACTCTCCAGGTATAGCAAAAAATAGTTTAAAACTTTTATGCTTTACTTCAATACAATTTAAAACTGATTTTCAATATAAAATTGTCTTTAGGCCATTTACAAAATATTTATAATTCTTTATTGTATAAATTTCATTTGCAAATTAATAATATATTATTATTAATTCATTTAAACCGTTATTATTTGGATTATTTCCATTTTTCTGTAAAATATTTTTAAAAAAATAATTTGACAAGGTGAATTTCACAAATTGTAGAGTGAACTAATTTTAAGAAAATTAAGATGCTTTGACACAAGGGATCTATATTAGCTATGATATATTATGAAACTTTAAAAATATTTCTTTATAATCGCAATAACAATTAAAAGTTAATCAATTTAAAATTAAGTAACGATTTTTTTTCAGCAAAATATTTTAATCTTTTTGCCATTCTTTCCCTTGCTCAACAGTTCAAAAATTAGATTATATTTCTGACGAATTAAGCTGCACATTCGCTTCTACGTTAGATTAAGTTTATTTGATGCGCAGTTTTAAAAGCGACGTACTTAAAGAATCCGTTGATGAGATCTTCGTTTTGGACCCAAAGTTTCCAAGTGCCACATTTCGCTCTTGATGAAGCAATTAAATTTATCTTTCTCGCAATCAGCAAGTCACTTCACTTTCTGTGCGACGGAATTGCTCTCATTTAACCCGGCCGCCGAAATGAAATATTGATCTCTGCCTGCATTTGTATAAATTGTATTTCGCAACAACGATGGTTGCAAAATCTTTCCATTTCATCTCGGCGACGGTATCGCAACTGGAGCAAATTTTCCATTTGAATTATAAGCAAAAGCACATTTATTTTCTTCCTCTTGGAAAATGAGAGGGCTTTGTATATTTGATGAGAGACATTAATGACTAAATTACGTAAAAAAGTTTTGCAAGAAAAGTTTTAAACGAAAGGTTCAAAGTGAATCATAAAATCTTTTTCATGCATAAATACAGTGTTTAGAAGTTAATTTCTTCTAAATCATTTCAACTTAATTGATATTTCTTTCATTTTTACTTCATTGCTTAATAATTATAAAACTACAGTATTAGTTTTCATAAAATTTTCGTTAAAATTAGAAATGAATTGATTGGAATTAATTAAAAAAATAAAAAAATTTTTGATTTTCAGGCTCTCCATCGACAACAATGAGCACAGTAACTGGAAGCATAGGATCTGTGGCGACGATTTCGACCAACGGTTCGACGCGAAGTCCACTGCGGTCGAGTCTGAAGAAGCCGCGGCCGAAGGGGGTGGACGGCCTGGGCATCCAGAACCCCGGCTTCAGCGGCGGTTCGCCCACGCTCTCGCGGAACGGCAGCGTCAAAAAGGTGCGCATCCAGACACACAGTACTGAAGTTTGAGTACAAAAAGTGGTTGGTTAGTGACTGACTGTGATACTTCTGCTTTCGAGTGGTCCTGTGACAAAAGAAAAAAAAGAATAATTTCTTCATTTTTGGAAAAAAAAACTTCTGCTTGCTTTCACCTCACTATCGTCGCTAATTGACTCTATACATTCCATCGTGTTTAGAAGTTTTAACTAGTCGCAGACTGTATATTAACGTTTATACATATATTTTTTTTAACAAACCGCGAGTAATTTTTATTGTACATGAAGAAATTTGTTTGTAACTAGCGAGATTTATCAATGTTCGTCCCGGCTTTGAGAAAGCTCAAATTTTAACACGTGTTTGTTTTGTTGGTGTTTGTGACTTGTTGATTTAATGATGTTATCAACCCCCAGTGAACCACACTGATATTATAATTTTAGACAGTGTTCAATTGAAAATCAGTATTCGCTGGCGAGTTTCCCAAATTTAGCAATGGGAGAGTTACGAAGATTTTATGACGAGCGAGAAATTTACTTGAAAAAAAAAGGAAATCTCACTCTCGTCACGAAATCTTCCGAGGGTGAATTTCTTAATAGAATTCACCTTTGTAAATGTACAGCTTCCATTGGTGAGTTGGAAGACTCGCTGGCCAAAGTAGGAAAAGTTTTATATAAGATTAGATTTTAATGTAAAAAACTTACGAGATGCCTTGCGAAATCCGTCCATTAGAGTAAATCTCGCCAGGGGAAAAGTTCTTTCAAGAAATTGAAAACTCTTTGTTCGGCGGGACCAAGTAGTTATCTTAAGTAAAAAAGATTGCTTGCGGGAGTAAATGATTAAATTTAATTTTCGCTGTGATTGAAACTGAAAAAAGTGTGATTGAGTTAAAAATAATAATTTAAGTGCCCTATTTAATTCCGTCCATTAGAGTAGGTTGGAGCGAAGTTTTTTCTGAAAAAATTCCTCTAATTGAAGTAATGTGCGATTGTTTCAGATGCAAGTAGTTTTGAAACGGCCTTTTTTAATTAATTTTTAGTGAGCATGAATGAAGATTTTTATTTATTTTCTATTAAGAAAGTGTCCTTGGGAAAATCCGTCCAATAGAGTAAGTTTCAGGTAAATCGAGAGTATTTTACTCTAATTTCCTGTCACTGAAGTAGATTGTAAATAACTTGCTTGATTGTCAAAATGTACATTTTTTTAACAGAGTGACTTACTTGGAGCATTTCAGAGTGAACCATCGAATGCCTTATATACTTTATTGAAAAAAACTAATCTCAAAACTCCGATGCAATATTATTAATTTAATTGTACAGCGCGTTTTCTAACCTGTATAAAGTGACCAACCCTCAAACAACTAAGTAATAATAAATAACATATCACACGTTCATGTATCATTTAGAGCAGGCGGGATAGACGATTCCATGCATTTAACATCAAAATTAATTTTTAGCATTCATAATTATTTGATGTAACTCTCTGGTGATGGTGATTTTGTAAAAAAATTCAAGTTATCGTTCAGTTTGTTTTGCTGGGATGAGCACTTCTTCAATTATCATTGTGATCCATACGGAGATATTTTTTTGAAATAATTTCGGTGAAAAATTGCAAATTTAAAGCAATTTCTAAATAAATTGGCAACAATTAAAATTGTGCTTGGTTAAATTGCTGGTCAAAAAGTGTTGATTTGATATATTATTTGTACTTCAGAGGAAAAATTTCCATTACGATTTGTCCATTACTGTGTAGCAAATTTTGTTTTCTTAAAAATAAATAAGCGACGTTAAAAGAACAGATATTGTATTTGTTTTACTATAATTTTTAATGATAAATCATAAAAAAAGTGAAATATTTACTGTTTGCTTGAGTAATTAAAAAAATGCAAGATAAAATTAAATAATTAATTAATTAATTGCAAAAACGTTTTGTTTATTATTTTCATTTGACTTCATTATTTGCTCTTTATTGAATTTTGTCACATTTAATTTCCACAAAAAATTTATAATTTTTGTAAAATCCTTTTTTCTTGCAGTTGATCATATTTTTGCTGAGAATATCACGAAACAGATCACCAAATAAATCACCGCGTCACATATATTTACTATTTTCTACGAGTCCTCCTCTTCTTTTTCTGTCTCTGGGCGGCACATTTTTCAAAATATATAAAAATAGCGTGTTCATTATTATTCTTGTGTCACTCGGAAAGTCGTGTGTGTGTGCGATGGGATCTCGTTGGTTGTCAAAATAATTAATTCACACAAACGTCTCGTGCTCTTTGGGGTCACTGGCGATCAGTTCGCGCCGCTTCCACTTCTGCGAGGCGCGGTTCGAGTCGGAGGCGGGCGCGGCCCCCGCACTCTCGAGCGCCTCCACGTCTGGAAAGTTGACGGTCTGGTGGCGCGTGTCCGAGTATCGCCGCCGCGTGTACTTTTTCTTCTCCTCTTTGGCCGACGGCGTCCGCTCCACCTTGCGCAGCACCGTGTGCAGGGTCGTGGTCACCTTCGACCCCGAGGTCACCACCTGCAACTTTGACTCGGACGAGGTCATCAATTTTGTTTTGCTCGGCTCTTCTTTTTCCTTTGGCTCTATCGTGACTTTGGTTGGGATGAGGATTCGTCCTGAAATTATAAAAAGAATTTTGTTTTTCTGTTTTGCTGGAAATTAAAATTATTTAAAATATAATTACAAGGCAAAGCTTCCTTTTTGGTTAAATTCCAACAAAAAAGGGATGGGTTAGTTTTATCAGCTATAAAATAAACCTTTAAAATTGATCATTTGGTGAAAAATTATACTATAAACTAGACCCTTAACGCAACAAATGAAATTGGCATGAAGATCAAGATCATTTTTCACAGGAATATTATGTAAATAACATTGTTCTTGTTATGAATATATAATAATTGTTAATACTAATTAATACAATTGTAGAAAAATAATCATTTTATTATACAAAAAAAATGCAATAAAATTTATAATAATTACTTGTTAAAATTTAAAAAACATAATAAACTATGTTTAAATATAAAAAGTAAATTTATTGAACTAAAATAGATAAATTTTATTTGTTAATAAAATTTTAATTTAATTAATTTTATTTGTTATACTAATTATTATTACCTGAAATTCCCTCATCAGAGGGTGAACTAGCGCCAGACACAGGGCTGAGGGTTGATCCGATGGCCGAATCGGTGCTCGGCCTGCTTCTCGTGGTCCTCTCATCTTCAATGTAAGGAATATCGTCCAGGCTGAACGGGATCTTGAGACTGGCAGTGATGACGCCCGAGGCGTCCAACGATGGCGAGCGGGACGACGGAAAACTGAGGGTGGGTGGACTTGTGATGGGGGTTGCGGGTTCGCTGCCGCCAGACCGACGCCGCCGGCCTTCCTCGGACGAACTTTTTTCTCGCTTCCGCGACCCTTGGAACCAGCGAGAGGTGCTTTCCTCCTCCTTTCCGCGCTTTTTCGAGCGCTCGCGTCCCCTGTTACTGAATATTAGTATTTGTAAAGATTGTCTTTCAATTGAAATTTTCATTTAAATTTAGTCCGAAGACTTTGGATTTATTTTACGATTAAATAAAAAATATGTATTTTTTCCTGTTTTCCCCTTAGAATTTAATAATTCAATTTCAGATAATATGAAAGTTTTATTCAAAAACCTGTAACAAAGTTAATCAAATTTATTAAAACTTTTCTTTTTACTTGCATTTTTCAATTTGATACAAAAAGTCCAAACGGTAAGAAGAGGAATTATGAAATTCTGTATATTTTTTCTATTAAAAACATGGTAGGAAGAAGATTGCAATATTTACTTGTTTCCCAAGTCTGGTCCTCCCATGCCGGCCGTTTCGTGCAGGAACTCTTCTCGCGTCCACACTTTCTTGGGTGAGTCAGCCCAGCCCCTGTTGTGACGCAAACACGCCATTAATAAACACAACAAAAATTTCGCGGCTCATTTCGCTGCCTCACCTCTGAGGGTCTTCTGCTGTTATGGAGACGGGGGTGAGAGTTCCTTCTGTGGGGGTTCGCGGCACCGAAGAGCCACCCTCGCTGCCTTCGAAAACGCTGTTGTCCCCATCATCAGCCAGACTGCAACAATTTGAAACATTTTAGTTTAAAATTCATATTAAAAAAAAAACTTCGTCTGTATTGGATTTTATTGAGATACTGATAATTATTTCTTTATATTTTCTTATTTTTAACTAGTACATGAGTTTTTTAGTTCCTTCTAACTTTATATTCTAATTACTCTGACTGAGCAAATCGTATCATGATTTCCTAAAATTTAACAGAGTGGTCTGTAAATTTTCAATATCCGTGTGCCTGGAATATTACCACAAACCTGGTTATTTGATTTCTCATTAAATCTTAGTAATTCATGTCATCATTTTTAAGAGGAGGATACTTTTTCTTTCATTTAAGTCTGTAAAAAATGAATTAAGTTCATGAAAAAAAGTATTTCTTTTTTCACGGTAATAATTAAATAAAATTATTTAACATGAGGTGAGATGGTTTTCATAACAACAAAAAGTATTTTGATAGTAAGAAAGCTGCAAAAATGTGGGTCAAAGGTTGAACCCAGGGTAACCTGACTCTATGGTTGAAGGTAATGACCAAAAATATTAATATAACATGCAAATATAAGGAACTTATTTAAAATGTTTTAATTTAATATGAATTGGGGATTATGAATGAAAAGTTGTTCTTACTCGTCGCTGCCGTAGCAGAGCTTCCTCAGTAGCTGGTCCAGAGTGTCTGGGTGACTGTCCATCATGTGCAAATACACCTCGTCCAGCAGCTCGGCGGACACCTATGCGGCAAATCATCGAGTTAGACAGACGACGAGAGAGCGAGCGAGGGCTGGTCTAAATTTAGGCCTAGCTGTCGATATTTATCACTCACTTCAAACACTTCGGCGTGGTGATCAATTAGAGATCGCGTCACGTTGATGGCGTCAGAGCGCTCCTCGGGTTTGTCCACCTCTTTGGCGCCCTGCTTGAAGCAGTGCAGAATGTTTGGAGCGAACAGAGTGGCCAGGTTGGTGCTGTCCATTTTGTTGCCGGCCACCACCTCGCCTGGAACAAAAGTTCACGATACATTTCACTTCTTCTGCTGGCTTTTTGCCGCCGCGTTTCGATCACACGGAGACGAAACGGCAAACAAGCAGGGCGGACTGTTTGTTTCTGCGAGCGCCGCCGGCTATTTTTGCAACACACACACGCAGACTTCAATCATTTTGCCAATTACTGCAACAAAAGACTCGTGTCTGCCTTTGAGTTGCGACCCTCAAAACAATAGATCACGACTTAAATAAATTCTCGACTATATTTGTAAGTTCTATTTGTGTGTTTATTTAAATTCAGGGCTGTTTCTGTAAAAATCCTTCAATGGTTTACTAAAATATTTTCAGATCAATACAAGCAGAACGCGCAAATAAATTCGTATAATTTATTGAAAACTGATGTAAATAAAAAATTTCCAAAATAATTTTCTACTTAAAAAATAAAAATCTTTCTTCTTTGCAAGCAATCACAGCTTTAAACATTTTGATACATGGAAAAGGTGAATTTCTTGAGATATGTTTTGACTGATATTTTTTATTTTTAAACTTTAAAATTCATATCCAATTATTATTTATTCAAATTATATTTAATACGTATCATTTTGGAATGAAGTCAAAATTTGTTCAAATATGTAAACAATTTGGTTTAAATGCATCGATTTATATTCTTCTCAAAATTTTGATAATAACAAACTCGTCTTTAAAAAACAAACTTCCAACGTAAGCGAAATCATTAAAAATTCGTTTTATTTAAGTATTTACTTAAAATGATTTTAAAGCTGTTTTAAAAAATAAGGTAAATATAAAAATTATGAAATTAAATTATTTTTGCTACTATTTAAATATATTTTAACTTTACTAATATAACATTATCTGCTAGCAACAAGTTCTAATCGTTTTTTGATTGGATCAACTATGTCTTTGATTCAATTAGAAAATATACAAAAGCAATCTTTTAATTGAATACTACACTTTGCAATGGTCCAACACATCTCATAAAACGTCAAATAAACCTAATAAGGTTATTTTCAATACAGTGAAAATAATTTTTTTTCAAAACGGGTGTACTGCAACAATATTATTTCTGATTATTTCCAATAATTTGGTCTAAAATTGGAAAATAAAATAAAAGGAATTAGAAGATAACTCCATAAAATAAGCAAATGATTAAATACATTTAAAATTATCACAGTACCTGAATCGTTTTTTCTATCACCGGCGTTTTGCGACACATTGTTGAGGAAAGTGAGAAGGGTGGCGAGCGTGTCCCTGTTGGCGACGGGCAGGAGCTGCACCAAGTGGCACAAAGCCTCCAGTTGCAGCCGCCGATTTCTTATTCCTGCACAAACTTTCGTTATTTCCATTTCCTTTTCGTTTTTTCTTCCAACTCACGCTGCGTCTGAATGAAGGCCGGGTAAAGTTCTCTGCTCATCAGCGGGTCGGGCAAGTCTCGGAAAAACTCCTTGAGCAGCGCGGCCGCGTCGTGTGGGCAGAGGTCGGCCGCCATCTCCACGTCGCGTCCGCTGTCAAAGTCGTCCCTCAACTGCCGAGTAAAAAAAAATATTGGTATTCGTGGCGCTATCCGAGTCGCAGCTTTAATTACCTGTCGGACCCGCTTTTTGGAACTGCTCACGCGGAAAATGCCCAAGGTGGAGAGACCGTATTTTGATATGTGGTTGCAACAGGTCGAGACGAGGTGCGGCACCGACGGCGAGATTGGATCGTCGTCCGAAGCCACTTCCAGAATACCTGCCGGCAGCGATTCGCAAGACCCACCCTGAAATCAAGACAGATTTGTGACTTAATTAGAGCTTGAACGGAAAAGAATGAAACTGTATTAATAATTTTCAATAACTTCTGGCGCAAAAGTGATCAAAATTAATTACGAGGCTTAAATCAGTAATTCTTTGTTCTTACAGTATTTCACATTAAAAATGACGTTTCCTACATTTTTTTCGTTTTTTATTATAAAAATTCAAGAACCTCTCAATTATAATATTTCGTAAATAAGACACTATAAAAAACTATTCTAAATTTTCTTCTGAAATTTGAAGCGAGAAATATTGCGAGTGCGTTTGTTTTCTTTGTGAAATATATTGAAAACTTTTGCAACCACTTTTTATGTATTGCTCATGACTTTGTTTAAACCAATGTATAAAATTAAAACGATTTTCTATTTGCGTTTCTGTGGGATTTTACAACAGACTTATGTTTATGTTGTAAATCGCTATAGAATGAAATTTAAAATTAATACTATCATAAATATTTTTCGTGGCATTCTTTGCATGTGTAACACAGTTTAACAAAAAACAGCAAAAACAAGATAAACGTATATATTTTTCAACTCAAAGTTTAAGACAGAAACCAGAGGTAGCAACAATATATTGTAATAAAAGTTTTTATTTTTTATAAAATAGCCAGTAGCACACTAAGTAAGTAAGATGAAAAAAATTATTTGAAATATTTAATAAATTAATTGTAAATAATAAATTTAAGTATAAATAATTATAACTTTATATTAAAGCAACATAAAATTTTTATTAATAAAAATTTTTGTTATAATTAATACTTGACAAATAAACTTTTTTGTATGTTGTTAAAATAATATATAAATATTATCATTTTTATTTTGATACAATTTTAGTAAGGTCATTTATTCAAAAACTGATATTTAGCTCAATCTCTAAATTTGCAAAAATTAACTGTATTCAAGAGTGCTTGATCTACTGATCACGTTCGGACAGACCCTACTCGATTTCCGAAGCACACACTCGAAACGCCTACGATCGTTTGCACTCGAGTGAGTGAGACGAATGCGTGAGCATGTGGTGGCGTCGCTTTTCCTAACAAAGTAATGCGACGCTCCATTAGAGGCAATTTGCTGCGGCTCGCAATTCATCGCGGTTATGCAGCCCGCGCGGCGCGAGTGCGGCTCGGGTTGCAGCGCTCGTAAATTGCAGTACCTTCTCGGGCTTGGCCGCCTCGGCCAGCGAGGAGCAACTGGTTCTGCTGCCGTGGTGCGACCGCCTCCGCAGCTCGGTCCTGCCCTCGCTCAGCCGGTCGTTGGCGATGCACTGCACCAGGGGAATTCCGAACACCAAATTGGCACCATCTGAAAATCAATCACATCCGCCAAAATTTATTTCCGGTGATTTTTTTTATAAAGTTTTATGTAAAACGTATTTTAGAGCTTAATTTTTGTTCTAATTAAAGAACTCTTACCTGTCTGGTTTTAATTTTCCAGATGTGAGATTTGTAATTTAAAAGTGCCTTAATAGACTCATTTTTCTTCGATAACTAATTTGATACATTTTGCACAATCTGTGTTCATTAAACTAAATTATCTTACTTTTTTTGTAAGATAAATAATGCAGCTCATAGTAACAATTTCAAATTTGAATGATAATCTTAATTAATCATGAAACCAAATTTAATCTTTGCTTTCATTAGTCCACCAATAATTAATACACGAATTCAGTAAAAAATATGTAAATACTTAAGTAAAATTATTATTTCTAATTGTAAGAGCAGTTCTTCTAGATAATTAAAAATGCAAACAGCTTAAATACTCTAAATCAACTGTGAATGAAACTTAGACTTTTCGAATAGAGTTCAAAATTTTGTATATAAAATAAAATCTCTTGTTCTCCTTTCTAAAATGTCTGGTTACCCATTTTCTCAAAGCAAAATCAACCCCGCTCGTAAAAGGGTGGAGGAGATGATGATGATGAAGGGGGTGTACATCCAGATCAATACCCCTCTCTTTTTTATATTAAAAAAGGAAAGATGGGAGAGCGCGTGGTGCATTTATTTAGATGACACAAGAGCCGATATTTTGTTTACGCCTCGGCCTTGTTTATTATTCGCACACGTATGTGTAGGTACAGGGGTAGTTGTATGTATAAAAGGCAGTCGGAGCTACGAAGGCAAAAATAGAGCGCGTTATTTGTTGATGTTAAGACAGTTTCACTTCTCTCGCTCGCGTCGTTAATTCGATTTTAATATCAAAACCCGCCAACTCTCGATTTTATTACGCGATACGCTATTTTCGTCGCTGCTCATTTGCATCCGCCGTCGGCAATATTAATTAAAAGCCGGTTTTATTGCGCCCCTGTCACATTTGGCCGCCCCACTAAGTGCGAAAGAGCGAGGGAGGTTCTGCCAAATTCTGCGCGGTGCATCGAGGCTCTTGATTATTTTGACTGCGGGAAGTGCCCTTGGGAGTGAATTCAAAATTAACAAAACCTCTAATTAATCTTCACGAATACATAAACTAGGAAAGTTTGGTTTAACCGAAAAAAGAAATCTTAGCAGTTTTAATTTTTACCGTTTATGGGTAGTGCTTTGAGGGACATTTTCCAAGATTTTCCACTGCTTGTCGTTTAAAATGTGGTGTATTTTTCATTAATTTTACTACAACTTTGTAAAAAAAATCCTCCAAAGATGGTAAATTTTAATAGTTCAAGCTAATTTATTATCACCATAAGACAAATAAAAAAATGACAATATTGTTACTTCCATGCAAAATTGATTATGATATAAATTATGAGTGATAGAATAAAATGAAATTTTAAATATTTAGTGAGCTTATGGGATTCGCTGATTCTAACTTACAATTAGTATGTGAATATCCTCTCCATTATTTTTTACGTCTTAATCTTAATTCATTCGGTTTCAATTTTGGAAAAAATACAAAGTATCCTCTGTTTTAATTATGTCTACTTTCAGTGTTGATAATCTCATGATAAATTAATCTTATTACTTAATCCTATTAAAATCATTAAATCACATAATATAATTATGTATGAAACAGTTAATTACCTATTGATACATTTGATATACTTGCAGGTAAATCCTTTCAACGATATATTTTATTTTAATTAACTTTTACTGTTGAAAATGTCTTTAAAAAAATACATAAATTAGTGTTATTGAAGTATTTAAAATAAATATAATCAAATATAATTAAATTAAAAACAATTTTGCAGCCAATAATTAAGTTATTTACTTTTTATCTTAGATTTAAAATAGTTGAAAATTAAAATATTTATAAACGTTTTAAAATGTTATAAAGTTTTACCTTTTTCTTTGTTTTCATCTTTTCTGCCCGTGTCAAAGAAGCCTGTTGTGAGCGCTTTCCTCTTCAAAAGATACGGCCTTCTTTTCGGCTTCGCGGCGGGGGTTGTGCTTTCGTCTGAAATTGGACAAACACAATTAAGAGAAATTCTTCCAGCGCACCTTAATTAAGAGCAAGATTTCAATTACTCAACGGGGAGAATTAATTCCAAGAAATGCGGAAATTCTCTCTTGTTCGGATTTCCAAACAAAAAAATCAAATTCAGGTCATGACGCGAATCGCGTCTGGTGCACGTGGAGGAAAAAGCACGTTGAATTGCACACCAGAGAGAGATAAATTTGCGTCTCTAGCTCGATTGGCGGGTAATTTGCCCACGTTTGTAATCATCCCTTCTTGTAATTAGCAGAAGGAAACACGATATTCAGTATGTTTGCGCTCAAAGGGATCTAACGACGCCTAAAATGATCGCGCAGCCGAGTGCAAAATCGCGTTCGAAGAAATTACCTGCGGGCACGCGAATGCTGACTCCCAAGTTGAGCTGCTGCAGTTTGGCCAGGGCCACCTGTTGAAGGACGACCCTCTCGATTTCCGACAGTTGCAGCAGCGACGATCCCAGCAGGTTGACGCTCCTCCCCGTCACACTCGTCCACCGACATTGACCCTGGAAAGCAACGTTATTGAATCAAAGGTATCTCACTAAAAAAAGTAGACCGCTTAGAGAATATTGATTTTCTATCTAAAATTATGACAGAGTGCTAATTTTTCTTTTTTAATAAAAAAAAATAATGAAGAAGAGACTTTCGTGAAGTAAAACACAGGCTTGTAACCAAAAAAGAAACTGCTTTCGTTGAAACTGATCAAAATAAATTTCTTCTGCTAGGATAAGCTCGTTTTTCACTTCAATATAGGCATTTTGTTTCATAAAATTTAAATGAAATGATTCAAATAAATTATAATCATTCAAATTATTTCATTAAATTTAGGCTTAAAGCTTCAAACCAGTTGGCGAAAACATTTTAGTTACAAAAGTTTGAGCTAAAAGGGAATTCACTAAAAAATTAGCAGATCAAAAAATGTTTGGAAATTAATTGCTTTCCTTCTTGCTATTATCGTTATTTTTCTTGTTATCCCTATATTATTATCCTCAAGGCTCAAATTACGGAGGAGAAGTGGCGCAAAATGCGAAATGTGCATTAGTGCAAACAACCAGTGACATTGAGTAAATTGAATTCAGGGAAAATTTAAAAAAAAAAATTATAACCACGTACCAGTTCTATACTTGTTAGGACAGCTGTTTAGGCAAATTCGAGCTCTTGTCAGGTACTTAAGTTACGTGCTTAAGATTTTTCGCCAAGAAATGCACAGGATTGGTTTGTACTTTAAGAATATTTAATTAAAATTAAATTTACAAGTTGCTCGCTTTGTTTACTTTCCTGTCCTATATTTTTACCAATTTTTAAGACAGTCAAGATTGTAGATAGCAAATAATCATTTTTTGCTTCAATGTAGCAGGGAAATAAAAAATTTAGCCAGAAAGAGCCGAACCAATCAATAGAAAAGGCTAAAAAGTACTTTCATTAACTAATTTTTATGAATTTTATTTAGCATTTAGCATAGCTTTAAAAATATGGGCTGAAAATTTTTATTTAACTTTTATTAGAGTTAGATATATTTAAGTACTAGGCTACTGTGGTGTTAGATTTGTTAAAAAGTAAACACCAATAATATAATAAAGTTCTCAAATAAATTGTTACTGTCTTCCTCTAAACATCATTAATCATTACTTTATTTAACAAATTTTTAAGTTTTTAATAACTTATTATTTTTACAGTGATTAACAGGACTATATAAATATTACATTCAAATTTTTTTCTGGCTTGAAGATCAAAGTTAAAAGATGATGACGTACGACGAATCAGAAAAATAAATCCCCTCCTTGAAGCAAATATGAATAAAATTCTAAATCAATCGGCAAGGGAAATCCGAGGCTTCAAAGGGTATTTTTAATCATCCCTGACTCGACCGGCGGCACAAAGGAGTGAAAAGTGGCCGTGTGAGAATTGCGCTCTCACTCGCGTACGTCAATTCGCTCGTAAAAGCCTCACGTTTATTTTAATTCAGGATGTGCACCCTCAACAAGCCGGCATATTTATTAATTTAATGAATCATCGGGTAATTGCGACGGAAGGGAGAGTGCGAAGGGCCAAGTCTTTTTCTTAGAACGCACGCGACTCGCCAAAGATAATGATCGCGCGCGCCGGCCCTTTCAATTAATGATGCTCGCTATCTAAAAACGCCCGAGCCTTGCTGCCGTCACAGATTTCAAAGAGATGCGCGCCGAGCAAGAGGAAAAAACCGGCAACAACTTCAAACATCTCGCGACGACGACCAGTTTTTACTTGCAAGGTGTAAAAGGGTTAAAGGCTCGAGCAACAACGCGCGGAATTCGTGTAAGACGCGCTCAATTTGCCAAAGGATACGATCTCTCGCGGAGGAGATTTTGCTCTTTTGTCTCTATCATCGCACTTTCAAATGAAAACTGTGCAAAACAAGTTGCGAAAGAAGACCTTTGCATTTAATCAGAGGTCAAATGAGGAGGAAAAATTCCATAAATTAATTTTCAACTATGATTCCTTGTAAGCTTACGATATAAGTATAACTTTTTTTGCTATACACAGTTTTTTAGTCATTAAATAAATTTAATTTAAAGTATTTTATATTAACGATATCAATATTAAAAAAGTGTTCTTCATGGTCAAACATAACAATAAAATTTCATTTTATTTTTCAATATTTCCTCATACAAGGTGTAAAATAAATAAAATTTAGCACATATATTAGAAATTGCTTCACATCCAATTGAAGATTTTAACTGTATTTTAAAATTGAATAATGTTATATTAAATATATACCAAATATGTTAAAATTAATATTTTAAATATTATAAAAATTAAAGAAGAAAATTATTTGCATGAGGATAATAATAAATTTTCATATTTAAATTTTTTTTAAGAAACACAAACTGATATACACAAACGTCATTTTAAGAAAGCGCTTTTTCAATATAATTTGGGTGGAAGTGAATGGCCCCCGGAATAGGGTCTTAAAATTTTACGAGAACAAACTCCTCCACTCACCTGCGGCGTCCACAATGACGTCGACGATGGAGTCGCTCGGCTCTGGCTCTTTGATCGCGTCCTCCAAATTTTCTTGGCCATTAATCTCGATCCGTGGTGACCGACGTGCGATGAGGACTTGGACTTCTGCATTGCTGCAACAGACACGGGAAGCGACCGTTTAAAAATAGTGTCTTCTCACACGCGAATGCGTCTATTCTGGGCGCTGTAATTAATGATTCGCGATATTTTCAGTTATGTTTTAATGGGTTGACATGTTTTCCTACGGCTCGCAACTTATGAATTAAATTGTGACTAATTGAAAAAATCCATCTCGCGCGAAACCAGACCTATCCGAGTGAATAAAAAATTTGTTTGTTTAAATGTGCCAAAAATTAGAGAGACTTTGAATTTGGTCTCGCTTCGGATTAGAAAATTTTAGCGAATTAATATCTTTGAAAACACGGCGGGCTTATTTTTAAACTGGCTCTTTCTCTCCAGCGGCTTTTTTAATTCAATTTTATTTTTTGATTGGCAGTACCTGCTGCGTGCTGCAGACCGCTGAACAGTTGTGACAGAAAACTCTGACCCTGTGACATCTCGCCGGCGTCAAAACTGTCCCTGCTCGAGAAACCCAAATCTGATGAATCGGAACTGAAAATAGCCGATTCCTCAAATAAATTCGGGTCTTCCGGCATACCGAGCCAGCTCTCGTTTGTCTGCACACCCTTTTCATTCTCGTCCTCAATCGGCCCTTTGGCCTTGATGAAGCGCAGGTTGCGGTCATAGTTGACCGTTTTGAAGCGGTCAGGTTTGTCGGCTGAACTTTTTTTGCGCGCCATTTTCAGGTAGCGCATCAGTTTGTCACCTACGGAGGGGCTGCAGTCGTCGACGGTGCTGCCCCTGTCAATGCTCGTCCTCCGGGGCGTGGAGGTCTGCGAGGGTGTTTGTGAGGCGTTTTTCGGGGTCGTCTCCTGCGGCACCGGAGATTGCGTACCTGACTCAGGAGCCGCTTCTTTCGGCTCGTGGATTATTTTGAGATCTATGATGGCCATTATTGCGTCACTAATTGCTAGCGTTTGCACTCCTTGATCACAAATTTTGGCGCGGCAAACCGGCGCTCTCTCAGACTTGTTATCTTCCTCCGTTGCCGGGGTGACATTTTTGTCCTTGAAGGTCGTCTTCAGGTCGGAGGTTTTAAAGGCGAAACGGAACGACTCGTAGGTTTGCGTGTCACGCGTTGACGTTGACGGCGTCGGCCGCAGGTCTGCAAAGGATTTGGGACTTGAGGGCCCGCCCTCAGAACCATGGTGGTATCCACTGCCACCTGAACCTCCTTTGCTGCCGCTACCCGCACTGGAAGTAGAAGAAGGTACGAAACCTTTCGTTTCATCTGAAGGGCTGTGCCGCCAGTTTGCCAGGTGCGACTGGAAACTGAAAAAGTCGCTTTTGCCAGTTCGCCTGGCGATGGCTCTCTCCTTCGGTTGAATTTGCCCTGAACTTGGGTAGTTCCCAGGTCGGGAGAGGGAGAGCCCTGGAAGGGTTAGATTGTGCCTCAGGTTGTAATTTCTAGACGAATAATGCTGCCCTGAGCCCAGGTTATCATCGTCATCATCGCTGACTAAAGTTTCAAGATTTGTTTCGTCTACGGAAATTGAACGATCCAGGTTGCGGGTGGAAGGCCGGTAGAACCTGGAGGTTGCGGATTGGTGCAGGTCGTGAAGGGCAGTTTCACTTTTGCGGATGGCGCCCTTGAACCAGGACTCCCTGTTGCTGTCAGTCTTTCCATCCCTTTCCTCTCTATCAACGTGCCTGAGGCGCACCTGCTCCCTGTCAGGGCTGCTCTCCACAGGTAGGTTTCCAGCACCGTACCTGATATTCCGGTCAATGGTCATTGTGCCCTGATCTTCCGTGGGCACGGATTTCCGCACGTCCTTTTCCTCTTGGCCGACGTTCAAACTCCGCACACTTTCGAACGACCCTTTCCCTTTTTGGCTTTTCTGTCTATTCCAGAAATGCGGTTTCTTTTCCACCTTTGACCGCCTCGAAGGTCCCGCCGCATCAAGGTCTACCCACTCATTCAGCTCCTCCTCCAGGGAGTCGCCTGGCAGACTATTTCTCGCGCCCCTCAAACGCGCACTAATAATGCCCAGTTCAAGTTCCGTGGTCGAGCCGGCTCGATCCTTGACCTTTCCGGGCCTGGGCGCCGCCCGAAGGCTGCGGCTCGTTTTCAGTGCACTCGGGTACGAACTTTTGCGCCACAAAAGGAATTTCTTCTCCTTCTTGCAGACCTCCTGGAAGTTGGCCTCGATGGCCGGCAGGTCTTCGTCCTTGTTGGTGGCACCTTCGGGGATCAGTTTGCGACCTGCGTCGGCCATGTAGCGCCATGTTTTCCGAGTTAGCAACCACCGCTCTTTTTTGCTTTTCACACATTTGAATGTAGCCATGATGTTGATGGCCCCACTCGCCTCTACACCTATAGCACTGCCAGAGTTGTTGGACTAACTGACGGGCTTGGAGCAAAAATATCTTTTACTCTTCTCCGAGAAACGGCCCGTTACCCCTACCCCCTAGGTCTACTGGCTTGAGAGAAGATCCTCGGCTCTACGCCACTTCGCTCTCTCTCCTACTGTTTATATCAATCCGAGGTGTCATCTAAGAGCGGTGTGATTTAATTTTCGCCGGCTAAAACTTCGTCCTCAATTAACTCTGCGCGCAAGAATTTTAACCCGAGCAAAAATATCCTCGGCTAAATATTTTTGGAACGGAAAAAAAATTATTTAGCATCATCTCGGTATGAAAAAAAAAACATGCGAGTAAACACGGAACAAAATTAGAGATCGTGGGTTGGAATTTCAAGCGCCTAGGTGGTTAAGAATTTTGTCACAACATAATTGGAAACTCATTTCCAGTGTATACGATTTGGCTGAAACGCCCAAATTGCGCCGCCGTAAACACAACTAGCCTCACTCAGTTTAGGTTACTTTCGGCAGCCGCGCTACACAAAAACACACAATTAGAATGCACGGAATGTCTTTGGCTTAAAAATAAACGCTGGCCGTCATTCTTGAAAATCACGTGGAAGGCGGTGAAAATTGGAGCTTTTTTTTCTCCCGCATTCGTCGAAGCGTAATTATTAAATTTACGCCCGGCCTTTGAGGAAATTTACGGAGGCGATAAATAAAAAACGCATAAAAATCAATTAAGATTGATGACGCACGTCTGTCATGTTCACAGCGGCGGCCAAAACAAACGATTTGAGTAATTATCCGGCGCGTGGATTTTATTATTATTATCATTAGTGTAGTATATAGTAGGCCTAGTTTTCCTGCTCGTAGCAAAGAAAGTAGTATGTGTGTAATTGTTTGAGCGAGCGCGCCAACTGAAGAGTTTATTATTTTTACGCGAAAATGACAACCCGTCTGTTACGTGTCTTGCGAAAAATGTAAAAAACGGCCTGATGGGTTCTAAATTTAAAACCTCTCGCATTCTACGCGCTGCTTTTGTGTGTTGAAGGAAAACTTCTTTTGAGCCGGCTTCTCTTACTTACTTACTCATCACGTCAAAGCACTCGCTTTAACGTGCTCAAAAATATGTTAACTAAAAAGGCCATAATTGAATGATTTTTTTACATGTCCCTTTCATCTTGCCTATAAAAAAACATACTCAGAAATTATTCTTTCATTTGATCTCACATTTTAAAGATTTGCCAATTATAAACTCTAATTAAAATGTCTCTTTAGGTCTACATTTTTTTTTAAACAAAAAGTTTTGCTCATTACAAAGGTACTAGTAATATTTGATTTTATTTTGCCGATTAAATTTGGTTGATAAGAAATTGATTTGGTAAAATTTTAAGGATTTTTTCATGCTCCTGAAAAAGGCAAAGTATATTTCCAAGAATTTATTTTTATCAAGATTTATCGTGCCATAAAAATTACCTGTAAGAATAAAAATGACAGATATTATCAAGATATAAACCGTTAAAAAAATGAATAAATTACATTATGAAACTTTTTGTTATTTTTAATTAAATTGTATAAGAGTCCTTTTTGATTTTTAATTTTTCTTTTAAGGAATTAATTTTTATTTGAAATTCATTTAATTGGCTGTATAAAAGAAGGCAAAGTCAGTTACCAATAAAGCGTATTATCAATCTTCATTAAATTTCATAAAGGACTCTAATGACTAAAATTTGTTTGATTTAATCTTACATTAAAAAAGTTTATTTATATCTAAAAAATATTTTTTATTAATTTTTTTGTCTATTGTTGCTTTTCTCTGCTGTTTTCAATAATGGCTATATTTATTGGAAAATAAAAAATTTCACTACTTTTCCAAAATTAAATGGGATTGAAAAGAAATTGAAAGAGGAATTTCCTAAAATACGTTATTTTCTGACATTTAAAATTTGATTAAATTAAACGTTGCATATTAAAATTAAATTTAATTTCAATAACTTTCTTGAACTGTTTTCAAAAAGCATTTGGCTTCGGAGTGAGTTTTGTTGCTTGTGAACTTGGTCTCGATCTCGTGTCACGCGGCGGCTCTCTAGAGAGTCGCGGTCCCGAGCGGCTCGCTTGCGTCACAAATCCTGAATTAAACGCGTGCAATTTATAATAAAGCCAACAATAGCCGCGCTAGGTATATTTATAAGCCGTGTGCGCGCTGCAAAACATTAAATTGCCGCGCGCTATTAAATCAACACGCTGCTTCGTCTTCGGCGCGAGTGTCTATTTGCAAATTCCAACTTAGAATAGCAGCAGACATATACGCGCGCGGAGAGTGGCTTCATTCTTTGTTGGCAGCTCGAGAGTGTTTTCGAGCAAACATTGTCCAGCAATAGACTGTTTGCCTGTTTGCAACATCAATTCTTCACTAATGGTCAAGACTTGAGAGCTACGCGGAATTTGAAGTTCACAAATTTTATGAGGTATGAAGCAAAACACATGTTGGAGTAAAAAGATGCATAGAGTTAAATCATAAATCCAGGGTATCTTAAACTTCACTCGCAGTTTACAAAGAAAATATACTGAAATCCAACAATAAGTCAACTTTCAATGAACTTGGAAATTTTCATTTTTTTTTTTTTTTTTTAGGATATGTAGGTCATGTTTATTTGAAATAAAATAGACTGGCGGAAGGTGAGAAATAAGTTAAAGTGGATCTTAGGCCAAAAAAAACTAAAGTTTTTGGCAAAACATTTTTAAAAATAGGAAAAGCATTAAATTTTTATCAAGATCTGCTTTAGTAATGCATCAGTCTCATCAAATCCTTGCAACAATAAAACACAATTTTCGCGATTATAGGAAAATTAAGCTGTAATGTGCAGACTTGTTGCTAATAAAGTCTTCAATACACCAACTCAGATGGTGGCTAATTTCCTCGTTGGAGTGGAAATTAAATTGAACAACAAAAAGGTTTATAAAAAAAAAGGAAAATACTTTAAAATGAAGAAATGATAAGAAGAACAGTTATTGTGAAAAATTTAAAGCGTCATATTTATTTAAATTAAGGACAAAGGCGAATCCATTCTATTCAACAATTGGTGAGTTCAAATTTCCAATTGCTAAAAATGTAGAGACTTAGTTTGACTATGCAAATAAAGTCCTTGTTAGAAAGCTCTAAACTTATTTTAAAAGAATTTTTTTTTTAATAGTTCAAATTGAAAATAATTTTAAAATTCACGTCATTACATGTGATTAATTACCAAGTAAGTTTATTTCAGAAAATATATTTAAAAAAATAAAGAAGTCGGGCTTTTTCCTCGTTGAGCCCTTTGTTTTCTCATAAAAAACAATTTTTACAACGAGGAAAAAGCCCGACTTCTTCATTGCCATGATCATCTCCTCGAGTGTCAACTTCTTCAAACAAGTATTTTTAAAAACATGCTTTTTTGATGATTATTAATTCAAAAACATAATAAATGCTCTGGAAAAAGGCCAATTTTTAGTGAACTGAGAGATAATTAGTTCAAGCGGCTTAGTATTAATTTGTAATATGTAGTAAAAATAAATAAACTTTAATTAAAAAAATTAACCACCAAAACAAAATAATATTTGATACTAAAATTATGTTATTACAATTGTATACTTTGGAATGAAAGACAAGAAAATGACGGTCAAAATTTTTTCCCCTCCGATATTTATTTTAATTTCACCTAAACCTAACAAATTTGTAATTATGCGAATTGCTTTCAATTCGCATCTTGTTGAAATTTTGGGAGTACGCGAGCGAGTGAGCGAGCAAACGGGCGCTCGATCGAAAGACACCCTTGATGAACGTAAATACTGAGAGAGTTTGCAAATGATCTCGGCACTCCTCCTGACGGCTGGATCAACAATGGCCTGAAATAGCGGCGCCGCTTTCAAGAATAGAAACATGCACCCACGGCAGGAATGTGCCGTGCCCGACCGTCGCCCCCCCCCCCCCCCACCCCTCCCCGCTCGCTGCCCATCTCATAACTCAACCGCTTATTTATCACTGCATGGACACTCGCTAATTGCCGTCGATGTCTCTCGCGCCGCCGCACAAAATTACTGCCCCAAAGGCACGCGTTCGAAAGAAAGCAATTTATGCTGTTTCCAACTCAAGCAAATCACATTTCATGCATCTCGACCAAAAACATATTGACCTTCGATGTTAAAAATATAAAAATAAATCAATTTATTCAGAATAATTTATGATTACACAGATGATTTATAGAGCAAAATTTTGTGGAAAAATAAATAACAATTGATAATTAATATTTACAGTGAAAATTAGCTCAATTTTGGAATAAGCAGTTTTTTAAGTTTTCATGACTTTCACCGTTCCAGCTCAGCACAAGTTTATTAATCAATTTTATTTAACAAAGCTTCTTTCAAGAATTCAGTAAATCAGTGACGGTAAGCAATTTTTTTCATTTAAAAAAATTAAAAATTAAATAACACAATATAATCATAACTAGGAGGTTGATAGAAAATAAATTACAAAATTTATTACAAAAAATTAAAAGCATTTCAAAATGAAAAACTTTCTCTATATTTAAGCTTAAAATGAGTTCACTTCCTTCTTTTCAAGATGGCATTGTTTTTGCATTTTTTTTCCTGAGTATGCAATGTGCACTACACGAAGGACGCGCGAGTTGCCTATGCATCACTGAAACATAGTTTATTATGCTACTTAATTATTTTATTTTATTATTGGAAAATAGAGGTGGATCTGAATTTTATTCAGGGCAGGAATTATTTAATAGTTTTTCTACACTTAATTTTTCTTCTTAAATATGCAAAGAAAATATTAAAAATTTATAACCATCTCTAGTGTTCTTCGATTTATTTTTAATTCTACATGCATTTTTCTGATTGTTACATTGCTAAATTCTACAAAGAAATAAATGTTGAGAGGGAATACTGTTTATTTAAATTATCATTTTCTATTAGCAGTCGGCTGTATTTTTAGGATTTTTAAAAATAAAAAAGGCCTATAAATAATATTTGGATCAAATTTAACTTTCCTCCGC